TCTCAGTCGAGGCACCGCAATATATGGCTTCACCGTTTATAATTGTGAACCCGAACTCAGTTACCTTCGCCTCGAAGTTTTCATCCAATATCACATTCTCAGACTTCAAGTTTCCATGGGTTACAATCTCCAAACAACCAGAATGCATATGAGATATTGCCTTTGCCACCATTACACATATCTCGATTCTCTTTCTCCAAGTTAGTTTTTTGCAAAGAGTTGAATCATGTATGTACATATCAAGCGTGCCATTTTTGGAATATTCATACACCAAGAATCTATGATTAAACTCATAGCAATAACCCACCAACTTTACAATGTTCTTGTGATGGATGTTCCCCATTATCATAGCAGCTCTTCTGAACATCCTTTCTTCTATGGATGCATTCAGGTCTTTAACCATGATAAACATATTGTCTGGTAACATGCCTTCGAACATATTTGATCGGATTTCATTCTTGAAATCTTCAGTGAGAATCTTGATTTGTGAGAAGGATAACACTTTGAAACCCTCTAACCTTATGCCTGCAAGAGCTAGAATTTCTTTTCTACTAGCAAAGTTTTTTCTTTTGCAAATGTAGAAAAGAATTCCTGCCTGAAGGATAGCAGCAATAAAAAATATTACTGCTACTCCGATTAGAACAGGAACAAGAAGCTTGGGAGGCAGTTTTGCTGGAGGCGATTTCTTGTGACCGGTATTTACATCATTTGTGTCCAAGCATTGCTTAACAAATGATACCGACCTTATAGATGAATCCTTATTGCCGGTGACATACTTGGTTTTTATTATTGAACATTGTAGACTACCATTTCCGGAGAAAGTTGCAACCATACATCGTGTGTCATTCAAGCACAACTGTTTACATTGCTGCAAATTACTCATGATAACTGAAACACCAGTGGTATAAATTCCATATACATGCATGTTGTTGTATTGGCGCATTGTATAGCCAGATTTACAACGTTGCTCAAATGGAATCAAACATTTGCCATTCTCAGTTCTCTCAAATGGGCACAAGCAATCAACAGAACCTGAAGCAGTGAGGACACAGATACCACCTCGACCACAAATAGCGAAGACCTCGCACTGGTTTTCAACAGCTTGCCAGACTGATCTCCATAATTGTGAAGCTTCAATCCATGAATATAACCGGAGATTGCCATCAACATCTAGCTTAAGAAACCGGTACTTCACAGAATTATTGTAGTCTTCTCCAAACACACTCCAAACAGGTTTTGAACTTCGGTCTAGAATTTGAAAAGCTCCACTAGTGTTAAGAGAAGCAGTGAGATTTGAAGAAGCAGAAGGGTTTTTACTTCTCCAGTAGGTAATGTTACTGAACCACTGAAGCAGCAAATGGCCTGAAGCATTCATGTTAAGACTGTAAGGACTGGACAAGGACATGGGACTCTTGCGTGTACTGAGTTCTCGATATGGATAAAATGTCTGTCCTGGGAGAAGTGTATCAGTTTGATGATCAAAACTTTTCCAAATGATGTTTTGATTTCTATCCTTCAAAACAAGATTGCCATTATCATGAAGAGCAGCTGAAAACACAGATTTGTTGACTGTTCCACTATTCCATCTCACACCTCCTTGTAAAGGATCAAACAGGACCAGGTCCCCTTCCAAAGTGAGTTGGAAGTAGGACTTGTTACCTACTTGCGAATAATCTCCTGCAACCCAAACCACTTTTTGTTGGCTATATGGTATAGACTCTGAATTGAAACGAATGCCAACATTATACAGTTCAGTATCATCTGAAATGTTCAAGAATTCCAATGCGAAATCACCATTGGAGGAAACCCAACGATCATTATCAATAACAGAAAGTTTAGAACCCAATGGTATAATAACTCCTGCCACAAGAGGATGTAGCAAGAAGCCATTGAAAACACACAGCAAAAATAATGATGTAATGAAACACTCTTGTTCAAACATATCTATGTATGCTCAAGGAGATGAAAGTAAGGAAGGAAAGAAGGAGAAAGACTCTAGCAAAAGGAGGGAGCAACAACGAGGAAGAAGGAATGTTTTTATGAGATAGGAAAAAAATGAAAGACTACGTATATATAGGAAAAATAAGGATGGTAAAAAATGTGTTAAAAATCATCTCTCCCAGCACCAAAAATAAATATCTCATGTGAATTAGAAAAAGTTAAAGATTCTTTATAATTTATTTTTGCTTAAATATGATTAGTATGAGAAATGATTAGAGAGGAAGTTTGGGATCACCTACTTATTCATATTATTATGATAGTAACCTATCTTTTCAGCTGAATTAGGATCTTCTTTATTAATGGAGAGGATGTTAATTCTTTTCAGCTATATATAGGAGAATATTATTTTAAATAGAGCTGTTGTAACTTTTCACCTGAAGTATTAAAGAATCCAATTGACCACAGAAAGTTTGGTGCAAAATTGTAAGTTATACACACATGGAATATCTCCACAATTCCTTCCATCCTGAGCACACAGGCAAAGACCAAATTTCTCATTCAATGGCAATGCATACATTCTCCCTTATAGTAATAGCAAAAATGACGTCCCAACCTCATTTGTCCCTGCTGCTCACCAATTAGCAACATACAGTGATTTAAATACTATGGCAAACCTAATGAAAATGATTCCAATACAATTCCATAGTTTATGAGAAGAAAGAAGAAATTTGTAACTTGTAACAAGAGAAGACAATTGCATTGATTCTTTATTTTTTTTATTATATATAGATGATTAAGAAATTTAATCAATCCCAAACAACCCATTATTGCATGTTTGGTATAGTTTATTTGTTATAGTTTATGTTTATTTTTGAAAAATAAGCTGAAATATAAACTATGTATGTTTGGTAACCAAATGAAATTTATAAACTCAGTTTTTTTCTTGAAAAAATAACCCAAAAGTATAAACTCCAAAATCATGGGTTGATTTATTTTTTTTAGTTTATTTTTTCTCAATTTTTCTATTTCTCATTTTACCTCATCATAACTTTATATCTCCTCCTTTTTACTCTTTTACCAAACATCATAATTCTTCACATCATCACCACCAAACTTCATAACTCTTATTTTCTTCTCTCTATCACCACTCAACCTGTAATTCCTCGTATCATTTTCTTTTATCTATACACGAACAAAGAATTATGTATAAAACTTTGTTATATAATATTAAAATTTTGTGAATTTTATATAAACCCAAAAACTTTTTTCATAAAACTGAATATTTATGTATTATTTATTTTGTGAATTATGTAATTTAAGTTTAGTAACTTTTATTTATTTATGTGATATTTTTTTTTAATATTGATATTGATTTTTATATTGTATTTTATTTTAACATTTTTTTAGCCTTTGTTATTATGCAATATTAAAAATCATGGGTTGATTTATTTTTTAGTTTATATTTAACTATGTATGAAGTTATTTGTTTATGTTGATCTTATGTTGTTTTTTAATATTAATATTAGTTTTTATATTGTATTTTATTTTAATATATTTTCTAGTCTTTGTTATGCAACATTACAAAATTAAAGTAAAAACATATAGTGATAAATATTAAAAAAATAGTAAAAAAAACAACTAAAATAATCATAACATAAACAAATATTCTCATACTCTTTTGTGTAATTTACAATGTAAAAAATTATCTTTCTACCTTACCCAAACAAAACAGATTAGTTTATATTCAATTTTCAGCTAAGGTACCCAAACATAAACAAATTATAATCTTAACAGTTTATAAACTGAAACTAAAAACTTAATCTATACCAAAAGCACACTTAGTCTTACCAAAACCTTTTACCTTTCAATAGACTTTGGCTAGAAAATTTAATTTATAATTTCTCATCATGAAAAATGGGAGATTGTTGAAATCATAGTATTTTTTTATTTTCAAACGAAGAATCTTTTCTTAAAGCAAACTTATCAATCTGGTCTCTTTCACTGATTTACTTTCTATTATTCTTATTCAAAATTATTTCATAACAAATATTACCTATAATATGTTAATTGGATTATAACAAATAATAAAAGATTCTAATAAATATTAATTCACTAAATTACTAATAATTGATTTTAGATAGAAAATAATAATTAATTCTAATGAATATTATTATTTTCTTTCCTTTTTATATTGGATTGGAAAAAATACATATTAACAAAAATAATGATTATGTTCGTTAACAAAAATTAAACGAACATAAGTAGTATATTAATAGGTAAGTATACCGTTTCCATGTCATATATTTTATAAGTAGTGTATTGCTTAGCGTATACGCATACATATACTCAAGAGTATCACGTATCATATACGATATTGGAGCACAATGTTGTGACCTAATCCATTCTCATCCCAAAAGCTGTCACCAAGATTACCATTGCCACCTTATGAATCATCTACTAGTACCATAGACTTTGCTACTTTTGGAATATATACTTCTAATTGATCTAATATTGTTCAAGAGCAATGTAAATTAGTTCTGCAATTAGTCTGATGAAACTCTAAACATTGTCGAGGTAGAGAAACAATGATGTAGTGAAATTGTGTGTCCTCAGAATAGAGAAAGAATGTTGCTGTAGTCTAGCATCTTTTGTTAAGTTGAGGTCATTATCATGATTACTCCTATTCATATCATTGTGACAGCTTTAATATGAATTGCGATTAGTGTGGCCTTACAAATTTGTGATTAAAAAATAATTTTGAAATTAATAACCCAATTGGACCCAAATGCATTTGCATGAGTCACATTGCATTATCATGATTTGGTGAAATATCACAATTGCAAAATAATGCAGTATGAAGATCACCACAATCACAATATTATAATCGCATTAGATGATATAGTCCATGATACAATGGTGCCAAGTGCTATCTACTAGCACGGAAGACTAAAAGTGTAAATGTAACACCTTATCGGTCACATTATAAACAGAGTCTAGTTCAATACCGTAGAATTTTAAACAAAGGACCACAAATTGACCTGTTTCTATCAGCATTTTCTTAGAGAAAAACATTTCTTTAATGAACTTATTTGTCACCAAAATACATACCCAATATCATTGTCTACCGATCTCTGAAATGAATGAGTGTTAAATACAAACATTGTAATACAAACATCAGGCAGCAATATAGAAATGGCAAATGAAATACCATTATCCAACAATAAATACATACAAATCCACCTTTAGAAAATACTGAATGATTCATGAGAGCCGAAATCGAAATCAAATTTTCTCCAGCAGCCAAACTTGATCCACATTCTCTAACTTACAAGGAGCCTAAATCTGTTCAAGTTGAGATTTATTCACTCTCATTCAATATCGGTACTATGAGCGGTTTCATTTGGGCCATATAAACAATTGCCCACCTGATAATTACAAAAGAAAGACAAAAAATGAGAATAATGACAAACAAAACTTAATACAGCTATTTACATATTACAGTCACAATTGAACCACATATTGTATTGGACATTCTTTCAGAGAGCATTTATTCCATTAGATGAGGTACACAGCATCCTTTTCACTCATGTTCATCCAATTCTGCTACAAGTTCTATGTGGAAGATAAAATATGCATAATGGTAAATAGAATCCCAAAGAAATAGGTACATAAACTACTTACAGTTTTGTCTTGTAAGTTCACGCACTTAGAGTGTGCCCGCAACATATAAAAGTGACAATAAGTAGTTAAATCAAAGGAAAAGATAATGGCCAAAGTAACAACCGATCCACAGTGGGAAACCCACATTTCATTTTCGAACATGTGGTACAATGACGTGAGACGTCTTTCTTGCTAATAAAACACAATGCACTTCTCTAAAAAGAATTAAGGCATTGGGCATGCATATGCTCAGGTATAATTACCTAAACTATCCAACTCCTACAAAGTTCAACCATTCTAGACCATAAAATACTAAAAAAATCGCATGGCAACATGATCGACGTCAATGAAAGCGAAGGAACAGCTACTGAAACAAACAAATTCAACAGCAATAACTATGGATAGTGGATACATGTCAGCCTACGACTATGAAGTCATGTACATGAGAAAATAGTGTTTAATTCTACTAATTGATATATTCCTCCCCAAGGGAAATATACCCAGACACACAAGTTCTACATGCTATAATTCCTATTATAACTTGATACAAACTATAAAAACAATGCCCAACAAACAAAACTTACATCATCCAGCAGCATATTGTTGCAGTAATAACCAAAGTCAGGTGAAATCTGCAATAGAATTAGGAGATTATAAAAATAAATGAGAATGAAGTATTGTACAGAGAAAGGTAATCCAGAAAGGAGAGGCAACAAAAATTAATGGGACATAAAAGAAAACAGTTTTTTCAGGGTATTAAAAGCTTCTCCCGTGAATCGAACCCTTGACCTTTTGGTCTAGCTGGCGATCCAACGAGCCTTACATCACTAAACCAATTGAAAGGATGTAATGTAATGTACTCCAATTGAGCCTTTTGGTCTACCTGGGTATTAAAAGTTAAGGATGTGATGTAATGTACTCCAATTGAGCCTTTTAGTGGGACATAAAACAAAACAGTTTTTTCGGGGTATTAAAAGTTTCCCCGTGAATCGAAGCCATGACCTTTTGGTCTACCTGGTGATCCATCGAGCCTTACACCACTAGACCAATCGAAAGGATGTAATGTAATGTACTCCAATTGTGATCATAGAAACCATAATTCAACCAATGCAACATATGGATACTGCTCCGGAATCGAAACAATATATTTGTAACATAAAAGGGAAAACACAATCAAATGAAAAAATAGACACAACAACGAAACGAAGAATAGAAGCAACATACAGATTAGCAGAAGGTCCTCTGTTACAGCAAATTCTGGTACAGAGACACGCGATTATTCCAATCACTGCGAAGATTAGCGTCGTTATCAAGAAACCCATGTCGATTCAAAGCAGATCCTGATCAGAGAAAGGTAACTCCTGCAACAAAGTATAATCAAAATGATGAAACATATTTTCCACGAATCAGAGAAACGGAAAACATAATTGACGGTGTTTGAATGAAGAGAAAATGAAGTGAAAACATAAATGCGTTGAAAATGTTGGGTTACCTATGAATTCTGAAGTTGTTGATGAACGGTGTAGAGATCTCAGGATTCGTTCGTTCATCACGTTGCGCTTATAGTTAGCCACGTTACGAATTCTGATTCAGAATAAACTGGGCTTTCGTCACCATAGGCCCAAATTTGGCGCTAATTACATCTCAACCCATGTTAATTTGATATTATTATTTTCATGCGTAATGTTAAAATATACAAGATAATATTTATGCACTGTCAATATAGATCAATATATTATCTATAATTTATTTGTATGATTTTAAGAGTTAATGATAATTAAAAATAAATATTAAATAATATAATGACAGTATAAAACATTGTTATTGCATACATCCTTTTCTCTAAAATCATGCTATTTCCTAAGGCATGCATACAAACTAACGCTGTTAAATTCATGTATTCAGGAGCAGGAATCTATTGTTTCAAACATATCAATATAATTCTCAACATAGCAAAACAGAACCATACCTGGCATTGCAGCCATGACTTTTCCATTGCCTCTTGAAGTAGCATTAATTGGAGACAGAAAACTGCTGAATTCTTTGAACTTTTCATGCATACATTGGCCTACAGCACACTGAAAGGTTTATGACTTCAGTAATTAGCTAAAAAGATGTTCAGGAGAAACAAATAGATTCATGCATAGTGAAAATCGAGTATTTTATATAATGAAAACATTCCTACTCACCAGCAAGGCCCCATAAACTTGACATGCAGCATGCCTCTTTATTTCATTTTTTTGCTTTTCGAGTTGCATTTCTGGCTCAAGAAGGTGCAAATATGGTTTGAGATTTGGAATAATAAGCGAGCGAACCTGCTCAGAGTAAGGAAGCATTATGCATTGGTTGGCATCAAACCAACTAAAGGTTCAAAATCACAAAGCAAAAAAATTGCACATGTGACCACATAAAAAGGAAGATTTTTTTTATGTTATTATTGTGCACAAGAACTAAACAGATGGTGAAACATTGTTTTGTATTGAAAATAAGCATATCTAAAATAAAAAATCATAATATGTCTTAATTGAGTTAAGATTCGAGTGATGGCACTGGCTAATGTGTTCATCCTTGATACATGAGCGTGTGATCATGTTTGTTAGAGTTTCAGTTTTTTCTATTATACCCCTGCCTCAATTTGATAATCTCCTTTATACCCACATCCTCAACATTCAAACTACGGCCCCTGCTTTCATCTCTGTTGCATCCCCAACGACTGTGCTTCCACTCCATCAGCAACCGCCATCATCACCCTACCCATGGCCGTTCACCCCTTCCACCATCACATCCTCCTGCTTTCACTACCGTTATTCGCCGGAACCATCACCATTAGGAAAACCTGTCCACTCCCACCCCTCTCTCTATGTTTATATCTGGAAAACGACTCTCTCACCTCCTCATTCAATGCAATGTGAAAAAACATGAGGTGGGTTTGAAGATCTGCTTCTTCCACATATTGGTTCTCGAAGCCACTACCAAATCTGACTTTTACTTGTGGTGTAGGTCTATTTGTGGCTTCAAAATGTTTGATTGATTTTTATGGCTGATTTTCGTGTTGTGGTGGAGCAGGGACAACGGTGGTGGTGAAGCAGGAATATGAAGGGATGCTTGTTGTTCTTTTGATGGTTTCAGTTATGGTGGTGGTGGTGGTGGCGATGGTAGGGTGGGTTACAGTAGGTGAGGGGGAGTGATGGAGGAAGATGATGGGTTAGATGTGGTGGCGGTGGTTGGCGAGGGTGCGAGATGGTGAAGGTCAGTGGCAGTAGGTTAACAGCGGTAGCAGATAGAAGACACCAAAGGAAAATGATAAAAATGTCAATGACTTACTTTGATCTCTACCATAGATTTTTTTAATTATAAACCAATGCTTCTCTCTTTGGTGATAAATGAGCACCATACTTAAAACTAAAAAATGTGTAGCTTACACTTTGCTGAGAGATAGCATCAGACTAATAATATTAAACCAACTTCATAACCCATCTAACAATCTACTTCGCGGATGTTAAAATTTAAAACACAAAGGTCAGAAGTTACCATTCTTGATCCAAGAGCTGCTATCCCTTTTATTGCACCATAGTGTTGAGGCAGACTTTTTGTAGGGTCTAAGAAAGCATGAAGAAATGTCTTTGTCACCCGTGGCTGAAGATTGTGATAAACATGCCCAAATCTGTACATGGAAATGTATGAAGTAACCGAACATGAACGGTATACATGTTCAAAATATTTGTCATTCTATTCCATTGAACCTGTCGGTGCAATGGTAAAAGGTTTAAGAAAACATTCATGCTTCTTAAACCAAAAGATATGCAATCTTAAATTAGCAGGGACAACTTTGGTAAGCAAGTGAAGGGCGCCTCTTGTCATATACAGTTCTAATGGAAACATGTTATTCAAAATAAGCATTACACTTTTATACCATTAAGTTATCTATGTATAGTGTTCCATTTAAATATAACTATATAAGTAACAGCCAGCATTAACATCTAGGATTAAACTGTACTAGAACCATGTTACAAAGCAGCAACCGAAGTCTAAAAAAGGTGGCCCAATGCACAAGGCTCCAAACCTAGTGAGGTCTGGAGAGGGCAAATATACACAATCTTACCTTCACAAGCAAAGAGGTTGTTTCCAGGATTTGAAGCCATGACCTCCAAGTCACAAGGCAAGGAACTAAAGTCTAAGCTAAAATTTTAGAGGTTAACCTTCTCATTTCTCTTTGTTGTCCTATGAAATATATAAATTGGTAGAAATATCAAATATGCACCAAATGCCAATTTGGAGGAGTCACAGTGGATGAGAAGTGAGAACTAGTAAGTTAACACCAGAAACAAATGAACTCTAACATAGTAATTTATAGTCTTATTATTTAAAAAACTAGAAAGGTCAGTCAGTACCTTTTGCATATTGAAACAACAATATTAGCACTGAAGCTCCTAAGCTCCCAGTGCGTATCAGATAGTCTGTTTCCTATCCTTTTTGCAACAATGCAGGTAATGATAGGAGGCATCAGTTGATGTAGCTGACAGGATTAATCAAATTAATAGACATAAAATGAAAATAAAAATACTTATTACAATAGTTACAGCTCAAGTTTAAGCCAGAAGATATATTTGCATTTCAGTCTTTGCTTCAGCAACCCAGACGAGATCCAAAAATGTAATTAAGTTGTTTAATGTTTATTTATAATCACAGATGACTGAAAGATCAACCTCATGATCTTATGTCGACTAACTGAAGTTGACAAATTATAGATGTAAAGACATTTACAGTAACATCATACTTACATAAAGTTCTATATGTATGTGAGGATTCTGCAGAAGGCTACGCACAAGACGCATCAAGGCAAATAGAAGTGGTAAATTATTTAAACTTTGTGCCACCTGATATGACAATGGAAAAAAACAAAAATGAGTATTAAAAGTATATTTCGCACTATAATGACCAATATACTATTAAGGTTATAACGGCGGCCCAATGCACGAGGCTCCCACTTAGTGGTGTCTGGGGAGAGGTAGACGTAAGCAGCCTTACACTTGCAAGCAGAAAGGCTGTTTCCAGGATTTGAACTCGTGACCTCATGGTTACTAAGCAACAACCTTACTGTATACTATTAAGGTAAACAAAATAAAATGTAACGATACAAACTTGTCAGTACTTCATCAGCTACAAAGCGTGACAAGTAAGGAACCAAAGGATGGAGTCCTGAGTCCGTTGCCAGGCTAACTAATGCTCTTCTAAAGGGAATAGAGCCAGGCTTTTTTAAAACCAGCTCAGTTATTTTGTCATAGTAAAGCTGTAGAAGAAGCGAAGTTCATCAACGTTGATAATAAACAACAAAACTTAAAAAGAAAAAGTACATACCACATGATAGTGCATACCTGGAGCTCCTTTGTTATTACATGTTTAACGGGTAATTTTACATCAACAGGAAGTCCATCTTCCTTACATTCTGGTTTTCTTATCTCAGGGAGCTGCAAGTATCAGACACAGGCAAAAATGTCAATGTCTGAAAACTGAATCTTTTCGATCATAAACCTCATAGTAACTGGAAAGAAATTAAACAGAATAGCAAATGTAAGTAAAATAGCACAAGCAAATACATCGGGTCGGGGAAATGGAAGTTGTAGATTATAAACCTCATAATAACCGGAAAGGCATTAAACATAACGAATTTGTGTGGAGGAGATAATTTCTATATTCTTCAAAAACATGTAGGTAGACATACTGGGCACAATTGATCTTCATATCATGCAAGCTGTGAATCCCAGTTACTAAGGATGTGATCTCAGTTTAATTGCACTTAAATCTAGAAAAATA